ACCTAGCTGAGAGAAATTAAATGATTTTTAGAGGCTAATAGATAATTTGGTAAGCATTAATTGTTCAGAAAATAACTGATACTGTGCACTATATTTGTTAATAAAACAGAGGCTGTCTTGATATGTTTACCCAGTCTGAAAATGATGTTATTAAGTTAGCTAATGTAATTGTTGGTGAGCTGTCAAGTGAGGAGTTGGAGTTGGTAGCTAACTTGAGCTAACTTATAACTTTGTTTATTTTTCACTGTGTTGCTCATAGAGTACACCATTTGTAACCATCATTCAGACACGGTCAACTTGGGGTTAAGCTATTTCAAACGTTGTTTCTTTATCCAACAGCTTACTAAGATTACTTTTGATCGTCTTTGTGAAACATAAACTTGCCGATAAGTTCCTGTTAGACGCTCCACGTCACGGACAGGGAATCCGTGTAAATGGCGTCGACTAATGATCCATTCCAATTTCAAGGTAAGTGTCCTCCACCATCCTTTATGTGATATGGACATGAAGTTTACTCAATGTTGATGTTATACAGTTTACTCGGCTCGCTCAAAGTCTCAATGGCACTTGTAAACCCACATCTCTCTAAACTGCTGCATTGTTATGCATCGGTAGCAACATCCACTTTTTTTGGATTCATATTTTCCATTTATCCTTGCTATGAAATTAGAATTTGAAGAAGCTGGCAATCTGTTGGAAGCCAATAGAGATGCAACCACTATCAACATTGAAGATGATGACATGCCAGAGAGGCAGAGAAAGGCTGCTGGTTTCACTCCGGATGTTGATGACGAGGACCCACATGCCAGTGATGACAAGACAGAGGTCTGCACAACAATAACACTTTTTTCAAACGTATTTCTTACTTTTTGAACTATGGACTATTCAATGTTGTTGCATCGAAAACGTACTTTATTAATGTTGCCCTTCTCTATTTGTTTTATTAAAGCTCCTCTCTGGGCAAAAGAAAAGTGCCCCCTTCTGGACTTTTGAGTACTACCAAAGATTTTTTGACATCGAGACCCATCACGTAATGCATTCATAACTTGTTTTAACACTGTGATATGTTGTCTTATAATATGGAGTTCAGAACATTAATAGATTTGATTAAATGTGTAATGGTTATTAACATTTGTTTCAGGTGAAGGAAAGAATCATTGGATCCATGCTGCCATGGCCTGGAAAGAACTTCATTCATGTCCACCTTCGTAGAAGTCCTGATCTTTATGGTTAGCACTTAAACAGTTTCACATTCAAGTCCTAATTATTAGAGGTTGTCCGGCTTCTTCTAATTTGGAAAAGAAGAGAAGTTTCCCTGTTTGTACTGTTGATGTAATGCTGTACTTGAATGTTGTACCACCAAATGGGCACACAGAGTTTCTGATGCCTGATATTTGTGCTTTCAGGACCATTCTGGATTTGCACCACCCTTGTGTTTGCTCTAGCTATTAGTGGAAACTTTTCCAACTTCCTTCTGAATTTAGGCAAACCAGACTATAAGTATAGCCCACAGTTTGGAAAAGGTAAGTGCTGTTATTTTTTAATATTATGGCTCAACATTCTCAGTTTGAAGGTAAGATGGAACTGAACATTTGACTTATTCATTTGTTTGTATTTGATGTGTTTTCCAGTGACAATAGCTGCAACAGCGATCTTCAGCTATGCTTGGTTTGTCCCCCTTGCCCTCTGGGGTTGCCTGCTCTGGAGAAACAACAAGATCATGAATTCAGTGTCATATTCCTTTATGGAGATTGTCTGTGTATATGGATATTCCCTTGCAATATACATACCAGCAGTGGTAAGACCTGATTTATTTTATCTCATAATAACAAGTGTAATATTGTCAATTGAATGATTACATCTAATAAAAAACGTTTTGATGATTAATGCTACTTTTCCCTGTATCATGAATACATTCAGAGCCTTGAATGTGTCTTGTAATGGAGATGAATATTAAACAATGCACTGTTCTTTCCCACACTAGGTCCTATGGATTCTCCCATTTGAATGGCTGAGGTGGTGCTCCATCGTGATGGCTCTCTGCCTCTCTGGCTCCGTTCTGGTGATGACTTTCTGGCCTGCAGTCAGGGAAGACCACCCCAAAGTTATTGCAGCAATAATGTCGACCATTGTTCTGCTCAACGTCCTGCTCGCTGTAGGCTGTAAGGTAATTGTGCTTGCTATACTGAAGCTGCTTTTACATCAGTTTACTGTTAGGATTTATTACAAACTTGGGAGCAATGGAAAATAAAACTGTTCAGGGAAATAAGATACAACATTTAATATCCTTCTTTGGCAAAAACACTTATTTATTAATCCATTCAATTCAAGCTGCTTGTCCATCTCCTTGTATATTGAGCCAATGAGAGACTCTCTCATTTGTCCTCAATGAACTCAGTAGCGTGGCCAAGCTTTGGCCCCTCTTGTCAATGTCAAACACAGACACTACACTATACTACATGGATAGCATTTTGTATATCCTCCTTGTGTGTTTCTGGGAAATGACTATACCTGATAGTGTTAAGTTCACTCCCACTGAGGAGACTCTCTCAATAGGAAACTGACTGCATTGGCTAACTGGTGTAAGAATGGGCTATTAGTCTAACTGTCAGCTGCACAGAGCTATCATATGTCTGGTCTATGTAATTGGTCTACAAAGTAAGCTTGTGTCTGAAGGTTGACAAAGATGAATGGATTGCAATAATGCAGCATTCTCTCTTGGAACACTGAACATTTGCAACACACTTACTTAAAGACACCGGCTTTTATTTTTGATTGATTAGTAGTTTCTCTTGATATTGTAAATGCCGGATTGTTTTACACTTGTTTGACTCCTGTCCTTGTTTGCTTTTCCAGGCCTATTTCTTTAGCAACCCAGAAGCAGCACTATCACCTGCACCTTCTGCTGCACTGGAGTTGTCTGCAACATGAAGCCTTTCATTGTCTAAAGGTAAACAATAGTGACACACAAGCCCTTTAAGCCATGATCCTTTTGTACATACACTAATAACCTGATAGGTGTGTGTCATCTTCCTCATCCTTGTACTTTTCATGGACTTTGTTTTATTCACATGCAATGGCATACAAAATGACCTCCTGCTATGGCAGTAGCTGCACTACACTGTTGGTCTATATTAGTGTTTTTCTCAAGTGTTTTTTTTTTTCCTTCTAACCTGCTAAAGTAGCACATCTGACACCGGACTTCCTTTACATGATTTCTCCTTTTCAAACCAAGTGTTATATGTTTTTTAAATTACATGTTCTCCTGTTGCCTTATTAGAGAGAATCAGGTTGCTGCAGTGATGAAGTAATGGGTCGGTTGGATTTCACCTGCACTCGGACATTCTGGCCCAAGACCTAAAACCCCAGTGTCAATGCTTGTTTCAATTGAATGACCTCTGGAAATGAACACTGGTACTAAGTATGTTATTTCTAATGGGATGGGTTCTCAGCTTCCTTAAAGATACATGGGGTATGGTGTTACTCAGCACATATATGATCTCTTGCAGTATGGCAGTTTTCTGCTTTATAGTCCTTTTTTCAAAGTACTTAAATAACTAGTCTATACAGTAATGTTGGTGGCATCAAAGTGATTTTGTATATACATTTTTTATACTCAGTTAATGGGAACTGGCTAGTTAATTTTGTGTTATGAAGATTCTTTATTCACAGCATAATAATTACAGGTGTTAGTGAGAAATTGAAGACTTGGACTTATTATGAACAATTTTAGTATTTTTGTCTCATCTTTTCTCTGATATAACCATAAGTGCCGCGAACTAATGCCAAAGACCCATTCTAAATGTCCAAGGCTGTTAAAATTGTGTAACTTTTTTAAATAATTTGTTTTTATTTGAATAACTGCATTTGATAAAATGTATAACATTGAATATGTTCATTTGCAATAAGTGTTTCATGGGTAAACAAATAAAATATGTTCTTTGTGGGACCCACGTTTTTGATAAAATCATCAATAATAAAGGTATTATAAAAAGATATTTACAGTCTAACCGGAGTGAATTTTCAATCGCAAAATGAACCGATTATTTGCAAACTGTTTTCACTCACATTAAAATACATACTACTATAAATCAAACTTTTAATACATGGGTAACGTACATTAAACAACATTAGATATTCAAATAGTTTTAAGGCAATCTAACACACTAACTATTTTTCATAAAGATATTAATTTAATATTTGCCATCTTTGTCTACTTCAAAACTCCTCTTGTGAACCTGAACAGTTGCACCATATAAATGCATAAAATGTTAGTTCACGACTTTTGTTCACCTTTTTTATATAAGTTTATATGTATGAAAACTCACCGAAGCTCCCACACGTCTAGACAACGTGATACACTTCTACCCGCTCCTGACAGCGGTAAAAGCTGCCAGTACATTTCAACAGTTGGACATTTTAAATATTGAAGGGATAGATTGTACCTAATTGGTATAACTTCAACATCTCAAAGAGAGCGTTCACTTTAAAAGTGGACATTTGGCTGCTGCTACTGTTTTCCAACTCATCCATCTTAACTGTCCTGCCTGATAGGATCTACTGTGTCACTGTTTGGATGCACACAGTGGAAAATGTTACTTATGTAATCCTGTGTACAAGCACACAGTGTGTGGCCATTGCACGCAGGGGGGAACTCCGTTAAGTTTATGATTTCCATTCGTTAACAGGGGCAACGTTTGCTGATTCATCAACAAATTAGGAAAAACATTTTGTCACTTGAAACGGTGTCAATGGATGGTGGTGCCCTAATTAATGGTCATTCTAGCCCCAGCTTTGAGTTACACAGGAGGTGCCTGTCAAACAGATAACCCTCTAGAGGAATGTTACCTGCCTCATCTGTAGCTGCTCCAGCTTGCGAAGTGGATTTACCAACATAATGCGCAAGAACTATTGGAAAAGTTTGTGAGTTATAACATTAGTTTGAAGCAATTGCCATTTTAATTTTCTTTTTTCTGATTTGGAGAATTTGCCACCACAAGATGGCCACTTCACAAGGGAAAGGTGAACAAGTGTCCAAATTTGAGACATTAAGACTTTTGGAGAAATGCAGAAAGGAAAGAGATGATGCCATGCACAGAGAAGGTGTTCTCAGAGAGAAACTGAGACAGTATGAGTCCAGGATGCGTTCAACTGATGCTCAGAAACAGAAGCTGAAGACATTGGCGGTTGAAAACAAGGAGCTGAGGAAACAAGTGAAGGGTCTTCGCACTGAGATTGGACTTGAGTGCAACCCTAAGTTCACTGGGAAGACCACAAAGGACATAATCAATGACATGCAGGATAAGGACCGTGAGTGCAGTTCCCTTGTGGAGAAGGCTGCCAAACTGAGTCTGACCATTGATGATTTGACCTATGAGTTGGCAAACACAGTCACATCTAAAACACTTTTAGAGGATCAAGTGCATTCATTGCAGCAAAATCTCAAGGATATGACAAATAATCAACGCCGCCTGCTGAAATTGTGGGAAGACAAGAAGGTCCAGAGGGATCAACCCGCCGCCCTCCCGGCAATTATCCAGAAACCTGCACAGAAACAATTTGTTCATAAAGCCATTCAAACTGAGATGTCTGTCAATTCATCGCAAAAGCTCCCAGTCAATGCTTTTGAGATCAAGCAATTCTCTCTGGACCATGACAAAAAGACAGTTTTGGATAAACACAGTTTCCCAAATTATGGAAATGACTTTCATCATGAAAATACATCTTTCATGCACGACGAAACCAATGGAATTAAGAATTAACTGTGTGACAGCCTGCAGTGAGAAAGTAAAGCGAGATAAAGCAGATAATTATTAGTGTGTGATATATCTGTAAATATCAAACAAACAAGTAAAACATATGCAATATAAAATAATGTAAAGCTGATTTCTGGCTTGTTTTGATACCTTCTGTAATTTAATTCTGTGACAATGTAGTTATTTCAGAATTTGTATCACTCTGTTTCAGTCAACATTTACCTGTAACAGCCTAGCTATACTTTGTTAGCTTGTACTTTTTAACCTAGCTTGAGTTGGACCGACTGGCCGAATTTAAAAATATGTTATTGTCGAACAAGCTCATTAAACTACAATCGTCTGGCTAGCAACAGGCAGGTACACGGACAACTCTTAACGGGGTCCTTCAGGGTCCTTTGAATGCATGTGGCGCGATATGGGAAACAGTGGAAAATAGTTTGACAGCAGGAGAGCCGAAGAGATTATTATCACCATTTGGCTCTCTATTTATCCAAGCATGTTTTCTGCTGAGCAAAGCTGTTGGTTTGTCCGCAAGGTGAGTCTTGAACTTAAGTCTTCATTCATAGAAGAGAAAAATGTATCGCGTGAGTTTGCGTTAATACATTACCGTTAGCCTCTCTATTTATGCTAGCTGTGGCTGTAGCTAATATTCAGCTTTCATTAATCCACACAAAAGCACCAAAGTTACAACAATATTAAGAAAAGTGGCACAGTTTAAACGCATATACCATACAAGAAACCGGAGTAATTTGAAAAAACTACATAGGATTATCAAGAGCAAAAAAGCTTTGTTTTGAAATAAAGGCTATGCAGCACGTTTGACAATTATAATACAAATACATCAACACATTTCAGTCTAAAGTTAAGTTTTTTAATGAGATGAGTTTAAAAGACTTTGAGAAGTTAGCCAAATTCAGCAGGAATAATTTTAAAAAGAGTTTGTTAGTCCTCTTGCACAAATGTAAACAGCGCTATGATTAAAACAAACATATCTAAAAAGTGAAAAATGCAATTGTTTAATTAATTTAACGTTTTTATATGACTATCTCAACATGAGAATATTTCAACTTAAAATATATTTGTATAGAATTGTCCAGATACGGATGTCTTTTGTTTCAAAATGTATGTACAAACTCAAAGAAGTTCTTACAACAAGGAAAACCAAATGACCATAGCTATTACTTACATTATGAATGAATCGGTAAGCATGTCAGAAATAATAACAACAATATTCATCCCTTAACTTTTTAAACGTATCTTCTCGAAGTTTTCAAACTGACAATGTGAGTTAACATTGTGTCTTTCTTATGTATTTAATATTGACTTGCTGTTTTCTACAGGTGATTTGCTGGAGAGCTGTGGCGAGTATCGCTTGGGCTGTCCTGTTGTTGCCCCCCATCACAGCAGTGTTTGTGCTCCTCAGCAGGTTCAGTCTGCTTCACCCCATCCAGTCAGTATCAGGTCAGTGGTCATTGTGATATGAGACTCATGACGATCTGAAGTTGTCTGAAGCTCACTGTAGACTTGTTTTGTACATGCAGAATGTCTGTCCTTCTTAACGAGTGCAAGTGCCATCTTCTCCTTCATCCTGCTGTGTGGAGTCATCATCATGGTGGGGTTCCTCAACCTGGAATATTATACAGGTGAGAGACATGATGTCGTTCTGAAATATTCCTGTGTTGTTGTTTTTGTTAAATAGTAAATGGCTTTGTCTAAAAGGATGTGCCTTGATAGTTTAGGCTTTTGGCTTAGCAGTACATAGATACATTACATGAGCTTATGCTGTATACAATACAGACTGTAGGGTTCATACATCAGAAGTGACAGCTCACTGCGAAAGTAAATCATTGTATCTGCAAATTAAATAATTGGAATAACATCATTTGATACATAATTTCCTTATCAGGTTGTTCATTGTAGAGTGATGAATGCATTTAAAGACAAAAACTCACCTTTTCTGGACATTTAACAAAATATATGTAATACTTTTCACACAGTATAACATACAGGGTTCTTACGGTCATTAAAAACCTGGAAAAGTCATGGAAATTCAAAATGCTAGTTCCAGGCCCTGGAAAAGTTATGGAAAACAATATTTTTCCCAAAGTTGCATCAAATATAATTTATATTTTATCTAATCGCCGAAATAGTAATACTATAATGATAATACATACTGTGTCGTATCGTAATGAAACGTAAAATGGCATTTAACTGTCGAGGTATTTTGCTGGTGAGAGATTTGAGTTGCTTTAGCGTGTAGAAGCTAGTAAGCCTATTTGATTCAGACCTTATTTTCCTGTTCCATGTTAAAATAAACCATTTTCAGTGGTACGCTGAAAAAGAGTCATTTATTTGGTCATGGAAAATTAGGTAAAGGTCATGGAAAAGTCATTGAAAAAGTGTATGAACCCTGAACATACATCAATCAGTATAAAGCATGATTCCAAAATGTGCACTCCTTGTCAATGATTCAAAATATACATACCTTTTTTTATATATCAATGTTGAGAAAAGTCTTGTGTTTGACAGGCCAATAATTGACATCTAGCATATGATATTCTTCGGTTGTAAATCTGTCGTTTCTTTTCAGTCATCCCAACGATTGCATGCTCGAAAATCGCCCTGTTGGGTCAGCTGCTCCACCCTCGTCAGTTCGTCAACTCCCTGGCCCACTGCATCATGGGAATAATCGTGGCTTGGTGTTGTGCCATCGCCATCGGGGGCAGATATGAAACGATCGCCTACCCTTGCACACCGGGTGATGGGTAAGCAGCACAACATAACTATCATGTTGACTATACATGCTTCCTCCATAGTCTAATCTCCTCCATTTGTTTTCAGCGCTGACAGTTCCCATCAGATGTGTCTGAACGAGCTTCACTTCATCCTTCTGCTGGCTGGAGCCTTCGTTGGATTATCTCACAGTATGCTGGGTGTGATCTACAACATGAACTATGTCCCTTTTCTCACTGTTCAGGTATGTGATGCGACTTTACTCATTCATCTCCCTAATGATCATTAGGCAAGATGAAATACCTAAGTTTGAATTAGTCTTACATTCTGTTATCATCCACTGTTAATGTTAACCCACTATTATTCCCTCCAGCAATACAAATACCTTCGCTTTAAGGGATCCCTACCTTCGTTGGTGAAGTGCAGCGCCACTCAGGCCCTTTACTCTGTCAGGAACTACATTGTTGTGTATTTCTTTTTGGGTAAGTCATTTCTGTTTACATTTATCATTTCACTAATACTCCCGCTCCGTAACCTTAGAATAAACTGCTATGAGAGGCTTGAATGATGTTATCTCATATCGTTTTTGTTCATAGCATGCTATTAGTTATTGTTCAATTATTGTACCTGGTCTTCGTTTTTAACAAAATATCAATTTTCTTATTAACAGGATACATTCCAAAAGCATGGATTTGTAAAACACTGAATCTGCATTTGAACAGGTCAGTGTGGCTTCTGTGTTATCAAGTCTTTACAATCTGTTCAAACAATAATACATGTTGATACAGCCCAGAGTTCCCGTTAGAATATTCAAAGGTCAAAGGTCTTCTTTGTTATTTATTGAGCTTTAAAACAAATTGATATGATTCTGATTAAACAAACTAATAATAGTAGATTAATTATTCAAACGTGTACAAACTTACAATAACACGGGAATAATAACCGGAGCGCTCTCTCCCTCTCCTGACAGCCGGTCAGTATCATGCAGCTCGCGGATCAGTAATGAGTAATGAGACAGTAAAACTAAACATATCTATAACTAGTTTAGGTAGTTTGAGAGGTCATTAAAATATCTACGTGTGATATTCTAACCTGAAGTGTGTGTTTTGTTCCGCTCACCGCTGCATGTGATCATGCAGAGCTGCGTGTCGACTCGTTAGCAGCAGCTGATCTCTCTCCCGTCAGATTAGACTTCACTCGCGTTTATGTCCATATCGATCAGATCCAGCTAGTTCTAGCTAATGATATGACTACCTGCTTATTAAAAGACACCTAAACAATAAGTGTCGCTATGCAACCGGGTGAGGCCACAAAGTATAGCGCAGCATTATGCATTTGTTTACATGCCCACCTGAACCCCGAGGCATTACCAACAGATCAACGCACAATCAACCCATACAGGACATCTCTTTCTCCACATTACGTGTTAGACATTAGAATGGACTATTCTTGTCTGTCACTGTGTCACATACTCTTTTGTCTGTCACATAAGTGGCGCAACTGACGCGGTATTGTGCTAAAGGGAAATTATTTTAACCGGACACTTTGACTGGAAAGATTTAGATCTGCCGGTCTTCAGCATATTTTACCGTTCATAGTCCGGTAATTACCGGCTAACGGGAACTCTGATGCAGCCACTCACTGCTGTTTCTTGGACTCCATTAATGTCTTTCCGTGATCCCCAGCTCTGTCCACCCTCTTGACAGCATAGCTGGACTGCTGGACCTCAACCTGCTCTACCAGCTGTGGGTCAGTGCCGGCTTCCTGCTCCTCACATGGCACGTCACCCTGCTGCTCTTTAGGATCTTTGTCACTGAGGTGTGTATGTCCATAGAAGACAACATTTATATAACGGCTAATATTTCAAAAGCAAAGGTCTCACGTTGTGGTTGGTTACAAACATATATGTTTTCTTCCATTCTGTTTCTCTTCTATACCATGTATCTTTCCTTCCGATTATATATTATTTACCTGTCTCAAGCTCATTCAAAGGTCACAGGTTAACATCAGTGCCAGCCGTCTGTGATGACCATTGACTCGGCCAAGTTCTGATAACCGCATCTGACTGCCACTCTGTGATTGCTATTGGCTTAAAAGTAAAGTGTTGTGTTGCAGGGACGACTTCAGTTTGCTTTTTAAATAATTTAGGGACACTAGGGGGCAATGTTGTCATAGCTTTGAGTGCTCAAGTGTCTGAAGTGCACTAGGCCTAACTTGTTTATAATATTCATGAACTTCCCAGGATTCATCTCAAGTGATCAATTGAACTTGCATTTAGTAGCTTGAAACTAATAATATTATCCTGCTGTTATCTGCAGGTGTACAGTTTTCCTGTGCAGTCTTCTTTTACCGAGGATGCCCATCAGTGTCTTCCTAAAGTTATTACCGGCAAGCAGCCCATGATATTAAAGGTGAATAAAACACATGGTAACTCTCTTCTCTGTGCTTCTAATTTTCG